GCAAAATGCTCCCCCACTGATAAGTCAAAGATTTGCTTGGCTTCTCTACCTAGAATTAAATCCAGGGAGGCCCCTTCTCTTGTAGAGCCTTCTGCATACTGGCTTAAAAAGTTCTCCTGGATGTATTTTAAGAATTCTGCTGACTTTCACACTATGACAACCCTGGCTAATGCTGGGAAAGTTGAAATCCCCCACTATCATGACCCTATTACTTTTACACTTCCCTACACTTCGCCTACATATGTGCTGTTGTGTTTCTCTTGGACCTTTAATGGAACACTCCTATCAATGCAATTGCTCCTTTTTAAGTTTAAGTTCCACCCATAAAGCTTCATTTGAGGAGCTTTTCAAGTTGTCATCCCTCCTTATTGCTGTAATAGTTTCCCTCATCAAAATTGAAACACTCCCATTTTTTTAATCCTCCTTCCCTGTCTCACCTGAAGACATATATCCTGGAATATTGAGCTGCCAATCCTGTCCCCCTCTCAACCATGTCTCAGTGATACCAATGACATTGTATCTCCATGTGTTAATTTGTGCTGTCAACTCATCTACTTTGTTTGTCAGACTCTCTTCATTCAAATAATTGTGTTTCAACCTTGCCAAACTTCCGTGTGCCTTAACTGGCTTATAATGTCTCTGCCTTCCTGATTCCCATGCTTTCTATTCTAATTTTGACAGTTCGTCTTCCTTGGCTGAACATGTTCTTGCTGGATCCCACTCCCCTGTCAAATTAATTTGAACACTCCCTGACAGCATTAGCAAACCTCTCTGCCAGTCCCATTTCAGTTCGGGCGAACCTTCCTGCCTTGTACAGGTCTCACCACCCCAAAAGATTGGTCTCAATGTCCCAGAAACCTGGATAAGCCTTCCAGTTCTAAACTCACTCATAGAGTCATAGAGTGACACAGTGCCCTTTGGCCCAAATTGGTCCATGCTGACCATGATGCCCACTCAGCTAGTACCAATTGTCCTCATTTGGTCCATATCCCTCTAAACTCTTCCCATCAATGTACCTATCCAAACGTTTTCCATATGTTCCCATTGTACCTGCCTCAACCACTTTCTCTGGCAGCCCATTTCATATACGCACCACTCTCCATGTGAAGAAGTTGCCCCTCAGGTCCTCCTTAAATTTTCCCCCTTTCACCTTAAACCTATGCCCTCTAGTTTTCAATTCCCCATTCCTGGGAAAAAGACTATATGCATTCATCCCATCTATGCCCCTCATGATTTTAAACAGCTCAATAAGTACACCCCTCAACCTCCTACGTTCCAAGGAATAAAGTCCTATCTGGCCAACCTCTTCCCTATAACTCAGGCCTGCTAGTCCTGGTAACATCCTAGTAAACTTCTTTGCACACTTTCTGGTTTAACTATTTCTTTCCTATAACAGGGTGACCAAAACAGTACACAATACTCCCAAATGCAGCCTCACCAACAACTTATACAACTTTAACATAACGTCCCAACTCCTATACTCAGTGCCTTGACCAATGAAGGCCAGCATGCTAAATGTCTTCTTCACCACCCTATCTACCTGTGACACTGCATTCAACGACCAATGTTCTTGTACTTCTCGGTCACTCTGTTCCTCACCACTGCTCAGAACCTTACCATTTATTGTACAAGTCCTACTTTGGGTTGACTTTCCAAAGTGCAACCCCTCACACTTATCTGTATTGAATTGCATTTGCCAATCCTCAGCCCACTTACCTGTCTGATCAAGATCCCTCTGTAATTTTTGATAACCTTCTTCACTATCAATGATACCTCCTAATTTTATATCATCTGCAAACTTACTAATCATGCTTGTACATTCACATCCAGATCATTTATGTAAATAACAAATCACAAAGGTCCCAGCACCAGCCCCTGAGGCACACCACTAGTCACAGGTCTCCAGTCCGAGAAACCACCTTCAACCATCACCCTCTGCTTCCTACCATCGAGCCACTTTTGAATCCAGTCCGGAAATAATCCAGGGATTGCTGTCCTTTGAGTCCTGTTCTTTAATCTATTTCCTAGCTCCCTGAATTCTGCTTTCAGGATATCATCCCTTTTTCTACCAAGTCATTGGTACCAAGATGTACCACCACCTCTACCTTTTTAACCTCCCTCTTCAGAATGCCCTGAAGCCATTAAGTGACATTTCTGACCCTGGCACCAGGGAGGCAACATATCATCCTGTTGTCTCTTTTGCTGTTGCAGAAATGCCTGTCTGTTCCCTTTACAATTAATCCCGCACTGCTATGGTTCTGGTTTTTCCTCCTTTTGTGTAACAGACCCACCCATGGTGCCATGAGGTTAGCTCCCCTGCTTTGCCCTGCACAGTTGTCTCCTCCCCCCAACGGTATCTAAAATGATATATCTGTCAGAAAGGAGGATAGTTACAGGGGTCTCCTGCATGACCTGCCTTCCTCTACTCTGCTCAGCACACTTCTGATGAAGGGTCTAGGCCCGAAACGTCAGCCTTCCTGCTCCTATGATGCTGCTTGGCCTGCTGTGTTCATCCAGCTGTACACCTTGTTATCTCACACTTCCACTCAAGCTGTGCCTCATTCAGGTTGTACTGTCTCCCAACCACATGTATAAAGCACAGCAATATCTCAGCAATATCCTTACACACACCCAGACCTCAATGAAGAGTCATCACTAGAGTTTCTTGTTCCAGCTGGCACAGCTCTCATCTATTTCTTTCTGGTGAATTTCTGCACGTTCACTCAATGGTTATCTTCAGTTAGTATCCCTCCTTGATACAGATGAAACAAATTGCAAACTAAACTCACCCTTACTTTCACTGCACTCAGTGTCCAGTATCTCTCAGCCTACACCATTTACAGACTGACTTCTGCCCCTGTCTGTATGCCACTCAATTCCTGTTGCTGAGGAACAATGCTGTTTTCTTCCTCTTACTACCTTTCTTGCTGCATTGAACCGTTATCCGTTGTGCTTCCAGTAAAAGAAAACTTTGTAAACAAAACAGACTTCCAGACTTCTGAATACCACAGCCCCAAACTCTCAATGAACCTCAAAATATTAAATCTCAGCTCAGTTTACAGCAGAACAAGCAGAAAGAGAAGGGTGGTCAGGGATCTTGGTTAATATGGAATGGAATAAATACGATAGCAAAAGATGCTGGTTGGGGAGGGAAGGGAAAGGGGAAAGCAAGAGGATATGGCAGCGTTAGAGGGCAGATATTTGGATAATGATACCCAGGGTGGACAGAAAGGGACAGAGTGTACAAACATTGAAAAACAACAATAAATAGGGTCAAAAAGGGAAAGACATCATACAAAGACAAAATTAATGGCTCTTTGCTTTGGAACAAATGAGATGATTTAACCTCACAAATAAAAGTTAGTAGCTATTTTATTCCATCCATTACAGAGACAAGCTGATCAAAGTTTGAACTGAATATTCCAAGGTATGTGAATTTTGAAAATACAGGCAGGATGGGAAGGTGGGTAAGTTAGCATTGTTGGTGCAGTATTGAATAAGTTTGATAGCTAGAAATGATCTTGGATAGGCAGATGTAGAATCTATACAGGTGAAAATAAGAAGGGAAGGAAAGTTCTGGTCAAAGTAGACTATGAGCTCCCTAATAGTAGCTATCCAGGGCATAGAGAATAAACCAGAAAATAACGAGGGCATGTCACAAAGGCAGTACATTCACCATGGCTAACTTTCATCTTCTCGTAAATTGGGATAGTCAGGTTGGCAGAGGTAGCCACAAAGAAGAACCCATAGAGTGTATTTGAAATAGTTTCATAGAATAATATGTGGTAGTTCCAACCAGGGATCAGACTGTTTTGAATCTGATGGTGTGTAATGAGGCAGGTTTAATAAATACGGCAGACTGAAAAGTTCCCTAGGAAACAGTAACATGGTAGAATTTAGCATTTTGTTTGAGAGGGAGGAACTTGTGTTGGAAATAACTGGACTGGACAGGGGAAGGGGTTTTGCAGCAAAGACAGTTGTGTCACAATGGCAGGCATTTAAAAAAAATAGTTTGTGGCTCAAAGCAAATATGTATCCCAGTGAGGAAGAAGGATTCTGGGAAGGGGCTAAACCAATCATCATTTACCTGGGAAGTTAAGGATAGCATCAAATTGAAAGAAAATGTGCAATGTGTCAAAGATTAGTGGTAGGACAGAGGATTGCGAAAGTTTTAAAAATTAACAAAAGACTCCAAACAAATAATAAAGAGGGAGGTAATAGACTTTGAGGGTAAACTTAAAATTAACATCAAGACAGCCAGCAAGAGTTGTGTATATATATAAAAAGGAAGAGAGAAGCCCAAGTGAGCCCAGGTCCCTCAGAGAACAAGACTAGCGAAATAATAATGGGGAACCAGGAAATAGCAGAGGAGTTGAATGAATACTTTGCATCGGTCTTCACAGTAGCAGACTCTAATAGCATTCCAACATTATTAAACAATCAAGAAGCAAAAGGAGGAAAGGAGATAAACACAATAACTATCAGAGAAAAAGTGCTAAGGACATGACGGGGGCTACTAAAGTGCCCTCGACCTGAAGGGATGCATCCTGGGATATACAAAGGAGTTCTGTAGAGATAATGGATTCACTGGTAGTAATCTCCAAGAATCATTACATTCTGAAAAACTCCCAACGTCTTAGTCAATAAAGGGTAGAAGACAGAAAAAACAGGCCCATTTTAGGTCAGTTAGCTTTCACTGGGAAAATGTTTGTGTGTCTTCTAAACGAAGTAATGCAGGCTCCAGATTCAAGCGTTTATCTGTCAATATTGACATGATGCTTCTTGTTTTGTTGCCAGAGTGCCATTGATAGGACCTCCTAGGTTGCCTTCCTTTCAGGTTTTTCGAATTTATACTCTCGGAGTAGCTGTCCACTTAGTTGAGATTCTTTTGTTAAAGTTTCTCTTGATGGTGTGTTCAGGTTTGAGGAGGAGAATGCTCGTCGTCTGGAGCTCAACCAGCGCTGCCTTTACATTGGCAACACTGCTGTGCAGTGGCTTGACATCAGACTGCAGATGATTGGTGTTGCCGTGGTGACTTCCATTGCTATTATTGCTGTCATCGAGCATGGACTGAAAAGGGGGAATCCTGGTAAGTTAGAATGGTTTCATTCCTTCTCCGCTTTGACATATGCAGCACAATGAATCAGTGAACCAGCACAAGATCGCCACTGTCACTGTGACCGTCCCCGTACTGAATTCATCCTGATCTCGATGACTGCAGCTCTGTCAAAACTCAAGAAGTTGAGTTCTTTGAGGATGCAGTAGTCCATTGATCAGATCTTATCCATCAGTAGGGCACAGAGATTGGAATTATCCCATTGACATGATGTATTGCTGCAACTCGCCAAGGCTCCTTAACCACAACCAACTCCTGCTGCTGACAAGAGCAAAGCAGATAAGGGAATGGTGACACCACCATCTCCGACTTTTCATTCAGTCATCCTGAACTCAAAACTAGTGCGAGGTACCAACTCTGGAGCATGGTAGGAGTGACGTGACCACATCAAACAACGTGCACAATACACAGGGCAGTGGGAAACTTTATTGCACAATGGCAGCAACCCACCAGAGAAGTGTCAGCCCCATGCTGGAACATAGACATTCTGAAAGGAGCTGTTCCTCCAAACAGAGGTTGCTTCTCCCTTGTGTTCGCCGAAGATAGGCTCAACGGTATAGGAGGAGAAGGGAGGGGTTCCAGAGGGTAGAAAGGGAGAAGTGAAGGGTTCCTGAGAGGAGAGGGGGAAACATGAGTGACTTCAAAGGGAAGAGGCGGAGAAGTGACAGGTTCCAGAAGGGGCGGGGGGAGGGAAGCAATGACAGGTTCCAGAGGGTAGGGGGGTGGGGGGAGAAGTGAGAGGTTCCAGAGGGGAGAGGGGGAGAAGTGAGAGGAGCGACAGAGTAAATATGAGGGATATTTGATTAAAGTGGGAACTTAGAGCGTGGGGAAAGGTGATTTAAGTAATGTTCATTGTAAGAAGTTAGGCTTGCTGAGTGTGAAAGACATATTCCTTTATTTAAATCTGCTGTTAGGGACTGTGTCTAAAGTGTAAATTTTGTAAATTAATGTAAACATTGAGAAATGTAAATTTTTGACCACAACCTAGCATAAGAGAAATAAGTGTATAGTAAACAGTGCTGAAGTAAATTTAAGGAATTGCAGCAGTAGCAGCAATCCAGCCCGAAGTGCCAATCTTGGCCTCCTCCAGTGGTCCCAGCATTACAGCCAATTCGATTCACTCCACATGATATCAAAAAACTGTTAGAAACACTGGATACTGCAAAAGCTATGGGCCCAACAACAATCCCGAAAATAGTACTGAAGATTGGTGCTCAGAATTTCCTGCTCCCCTAGACAAGCTGTTCCAGTACTGTTACAACATTGGCATCTACCCAGTAATGTGGAAAATTGCCCACAGTTGTCCATAAAACTGTCCACAATTATCCATAAAAATCAGGACAGATCCAACCGGCCAATTACCGTCTCCTCTCGATCAGTCTCCTCTCGATCATCAGTAAAGTGATGGAAGGTGTCACTAACAGCGCTATCAAGCAGCACCTGCTCAGCAATAACCTGCTCAGTGACGCCCAGTTTGGATTCCTGCAGAGCCACTCAGCTCCTGACCTCATTACAGCCTTGGTTCAAACATGGACAAAAGGAGCTGAATTCCAGAGGTGAGGTGAGAGTGTCAGCCCATGACATCAAGGCTGCATTCGACTGAGTGTGGTATCAAAAGCCCTCACAAAATTGGAATCAGTGGGTATTAGGGGACAAACTCTCTACTGGTTGGAGTCATACCTGACACACAGGAAGATGGTTGTGGTTGTTAGAGGTCAGTCATCTCAGCTCCAGGACATCTCTGCAGAAGTTCCTCAAGGTAGCGTCCTAGGCCCAACCATTTTCAACTATTTCATCAATGACCTTCCCTCTATCATAAGGTCTGAAGTAGGGACGTTTACTGACGATTGCACTACGGCATCATTTGCAACCCCTCAGAAACTGAAGCAGTCCATGTTCAAGTGGACAATCTCACCACCACCCCTTGACATTCAATGGTGTTACCATCACCAAATACTCTGCCAATAACATCCTGAGGGTTACCATTAACCAGAAACACAAACCACATATACGCAGTGGCTGTAAGATAAGGTCAGGTGCTGGGAATACTGTGGCAAGTAACTTGCCTCCTGACTCCCCAAAGCCTGTCCACCACCTACAAGGCACAAGTCAGGAGTGTGATGGAATGCTGTCCACTTGCTAGGATGAGTCCAGTTCCAACAACACTGAAGAAGCTTGACACCATCCAGGACAAAGCAGCCCATTTGATTGGTGCCAAGACCACAAACATCTGCTCCCTTCGCCGCCAATGTTCAGGGGCAGCTGAAATTCACCAAGGATCCTTTGACAGCACCTTCCAAAGCCATGGCCACTTTGATCTAGAAACACAAGGGCAACAGATACATAGGAACACCACCCCCTGAAAGTTCCTTCCAAGCCACTAACTATCCTGACTTGGAAATATATTGCTGTTCCTTCACTATCGCTGGGTCAAAATCCTGGAATTCCCTCCCTTAAGGGCATTGTGGTTCTATCTGCAGCAGGTGGACTGCAGTGATTCAAGAAGGCAGCTTACCACCACCTTCTCAAGGGCAGTGAGGAACAGGCAATAAATGCTTGTCCAGCCAGCGGCACCCACATCCCACAGTGTAATAAGAAGAGAATGAGAGAGAGCGCCATGATGGTGAATTTTGATGGGTAATGTAGGGAGGAGGCCTGAATGGAACATGAGCATATCACTGGACTGGGCTGAGTTGGCTGAAAGGCCTGTTTCTGTGCCATATTACCCAATTTGGCTGGCTACAAATTTTAGTATTGTATTCATTGGCCTTTGACTGTTTAGACATCCATTGTTACACACTTGTTACCATTTGAGGAATACAGTAATCCAGTTGCTGCTTGAAGTTGCAGCCCTTTATGCTCGTATAACACTGGGATGGCCACCTTTGAGCAAGAAGCAGGCTGCTAATGACAAAGCAAAGTTGGAGACAACATTGCTGACATAGAGTCATAAAGATGTACAGCACGGAAACAGACCCTTTGGTCCAATTCGTCCATACTGACCAGATATCCTAAATAAATCTAGTTCCATTTGCCAGCATTTGGACGACATCCCTCTCAACCCTTCCTATTCATACACCCATCCAGATGCCATTTAAATGTTGTAATTGTACCAGCCTCCACCACTTGCTTGGATATGATTTTATTTATTTATTTATTGTCACTTGTACTGAAATACAGTCAAAAGCTTTGTTTATGAGCGGTACAGACAGATCATAGTAAGCAAAGGATGTCCAGATCGAGAAGACTTAGACAGAGGCATACTGGTTACATTGCATGGGGCATGCTCTCGGCGAGATCAACGTTAGCAAGATCAGCATAATTTTAGGCTAGACAGTCCATCCGTCAGTCTGATAACGGCCAGGAAGAAGCTGTTCCTGAACCTGTTAGTGCGTGTGTACAGGTTTCTGTATCTTCTGCCTGACAGCAAAGGTTGTAGGAGATCATCACTGGGGTGCGATGGATCTTTGTTGATATTGGCAACCTTTCTGTGGCAGCGAGCCGTGTAAATGGAGTCCATGGCTGGAAGGTTAGCTTCCGTGATGGTCTGGGCTGTGCACACCACCTTCTGTAGTTTCTTACGGTCCTGGGCAGAGCAACTGCCATTATGCACACGAATGGTATGCTTTCAGTGGTGCATCTGTAGAGGTTGGTGAAGGACCTTACGGACATGTCTGGCACAGAAGAATCATGGAATCCTACAGTACAGAGGAGGCCCTTTGACCCTCTGAATTTGTAGCGACAGAAAAAACTTCTCTAAGTCTGCACTAGAGTCGTAGAGTCACAGGGATATACAGCACGGAAACAGACCCTTCGGTCCAACCCGTCTGTGTCGACCAGATATCCTTAATAAGTATAGTCCCATTTACCAGCATTTGGTCCATATCCCTCTAAACCCTTCCTATCCAGATGCATTTGAAATGTTGTAATTGTACCAGCCTCCACCACTTCCTCTGGCAGCTCATTTCATACACTTAATTCCTTATGCATGAAAAAATTGCCCCTTAGGTCCCTTTTAAATCTTTTCCCTCTCATCTTAAACCTATGCCCTCTAGTTTTGGACTCCCCCACCCTGGGGAAAAGACCTTGGCTATTCATCCTATCCATGCCCCTCATGATTTTATAATCTGTGATTGTAGGGAAAATAGCCCCAGTCTATTCAGCCTCTCCCTGTAGCTCAAACCCTCCAGCCCCAGCAACATCCAATCTTTTCTGCACCTTCTCAAGTTTAACACCATCCTTCCCATACAAGAATGACTAGAATTGTACACAATATTCCAAAAAGTGGCTTCACCAACATCCTGTACGGCCTCAACATGACATCCCAACTCTTATACACACTGACCAACAAAGACAAGTGTGCCAAACACCACCGAGTCTCTCTTGGACTCCACCTTCAAGAAAGTGTGCACCTGCGCCCCTAGGTCTCTTTGTTCAGCAACACTCCCCAGGGCTCTACCATGAACTATATAAGTCCTGCCCTGGATTGCTTTACCAAAATGCAACACCTCATATTGATCTAAATTAAACTCCATCTGCCACTACCTCTTCAAGAAACTCAATCAAGTTAGTGACACATGAAAGTCCTTGCCATTCCAAATGCATGTAGATCCTGTCCCTCGGAATCCCCTCAAACAACATACCCATCACTGATGTAAGGCTCAGGGGTCTATAGTTCCTGGATTTTCCTTACAACCTTTCTTAAATAATGGCACCACAGGAGCCAATCTCTAGTATTCTGACACCTCACCACCGCTGTTGATGATACAACTATCTTCCCACAAAATCCTTGTGAATCTTTTGTGAACCCTTTCAAGTTTCACAATATCCTTCCTATAGCAGGAAGACCAGAATTGTACACAGTATTCCAAAAGCAGCCTAACCAATGTCCTGTGCAGCCACAACATGATCTCCCAACTCTTATAATCAATGCACTGACCAATAAAGAGAACCATACCAAATGCCTTCTTCAC